TACTTTACGCAAGTTTATTCCAGGATGCTCATGAAAAGCAAAGTAAGTTCAGCTCCACCATCACTGAAATGCAAGTGGTGATGCCAGAGAACAGGGTAAAAGCCAGAGAGAAATGCAGCTTCAGAAAGGAACTTAGAAAGGCCAAGCCTTGAGAATGATCATCAGATCTAGATTAAGCCAGAATCCTTTTAAACACAGACTCTTAGTACAGCATATGCTAATCCTAGATTATGTTTAACAGAGGCAAAAGAGTAAAGCGAGCTTTCTTATGTGTCTTTTTCTCCCTAAAATAATTTATTTGAGTAAGCCACACAGAAAGAAGACAAAAGTAAAACAAGACTCTATAAAACCTGATTTTTATCAAACGCCTAAATAAAAGAAACATGACGCGCACATTAGTCTCTTATTATCTTACAATACCCCAGACGTTTGTGGCCTTTAAATTTCTTTTCTAATCATATTAAACCTCTGAAACTCTTCCAACAGCAACAGAGGGGCTTTCAAGTTCATCTTAAGTGGCTGCTGTTTCTTGGGTTGTTGTCTAGTTTCTTTCTCTGCAGATCACCCCATTGTTTAGGCCTTATATCAGGATTGTGAAGCTCCTCTGGCAACATAACCCCCCAATGTGTCACCCTTTCACAGCCTGTAGTGTACAGATTTAGAACATTTGTTCTTATAACTTACACAAGTTGTCCCATTATCAAATTACGTGTGTGGTGGTCCATCTTTCCATGAGACTAAATTTCCGAATGCAGAAACAGTCTTCTGCTTTATCTCCACTTCCCTGCCCACACTTTGATGAACAGCAGCACACAGTGCACTTTATGAAACTAAGTGAAAGCCCCTGTGCTGTGTACCAACAAGTAAGGTGAAATATGACTGACAGCCTTTCAGGAATGCCTTTCTCACAAGACGGTGGAGTCTTGAAGCAATCTGCTTGCAATTTACAGAAAGATAATAACAATAGCTAACCTTTACCAAGGGCTCTGCTAAACACTGCCATGTTGGCTTTGTGCTAAGTGGTTTCCCTACTGTAAACATCACTAAAATAAACATTTTCTGCTTCCCATCTCTGTTTCCCAACTCAGGTTAGATGATCAATGAGTGGTCAGTTTGTATGTCTTTACAATTGCTGGGCAAAAGCGAAGTGTTGACCCAAAGTTGGTCTCTCCGCTTCAGACCATGTGGACAGACTTCCTGAAGCATGCACCAGGAGCTGGCATTTGAATAAATTCAACTGCTTAGCTCAGAGCTAATCAAGACATCACTGTACAGGCCAGAAAAGAGCTTATAATGTTACAGTTTTTATTTTTCTTAAATCACAAGAAACAGTGAAGAAAGTAAAGACTACTTATTCTACCTGACTTTGGGCCCGGACAGAAAAAAAAAATGCTAAGCAATTCTTTGGTTAGAGAACAGAGTGCTCAATAGAGGAAGCTCTTCATTCCGATTTAAACTTTTTCTTTTTGTCTACTAAAAGCTGTGGACTATAAATATTGACATAATTTGAGCTCACATTTTAATCATTTTAATATTTATTTATTTATTTTTATTGGTTCCAGGGATTGAACTCACGACTGTCTGCTTGCAAGGCAGGGGCTTATGCCGCTGAGCTAAATCCCCAGCCCCCGCATTTTAATATTTATTATATAGTATATTGCCGAAACAAAACAAAGTTCTATAAATTGCTGCTCTACCATACAGAAAGGAGTTAGTTTTATGGAATCATCATCCAATTGAAAAGAAATATGAAGCATAAACTTTGCTAAATGCACTGCTTAGCTATATCTCCTACTTCATCACTGAAAAACGTTATATTAATCTAAATGTTTCACATAAATAACTGTACAGATATATGAAGATATGTCAAAAATTAAAGACACTATTAGAGAGTTCACTGATCTGTGTAGGTAACATAATACCTGGAGAAATATGGAAAACAAGGACTTCACCAGGCTGACGGCTCTGTGTGAACAGTGACTTGGGAGTGTAGATCAGTGATGGAGCACACATCTTGCATGCCAAAGGCCCTGGATTTCATCTCCAGCTTCTTAAGAATAAAAGGAAGAGAAGACACTGACATAGAAGTACATGATTCTTTTAGAACTTTATAGCTTACCAAGGGCCTGAAGACATAGCATGACATTCAGTTTCAAAAGCAACCCCTGTGGAGTAAGCAAGTTCATTCTCACCTTCCAATGAGAGACCACACAGATTAGGCATGTTGTAATCAATGTGAAGCAGACAGAATATAGTATTAACATCTGGAATTTTACCATGCTGGGACTCTGGTTAGCGTTTCACATGAGGACTCCTGAATCCCTTGTAACAGACTTTCCTAAGTAAAAACTGAATTTCAGGGGTTCCATAGCTTGGCGAAGATTATAAAGCTGATGTAGCCAAACTGTCCAGTTTAGTCTGCTTGCCCATTGTAGATTGCGGTGTTTTGAGATTCAGGATTATTTCGTTGTCTTGGTCTTCATCTTCATCTTTGTCTTCGTCTTTGTCTGCATCTGTTTCTGCTTGTGCTTCTGCTTCTTCTTCTCCTTCTCCCCACCCCACCTCCCACCTTTTTTCTTTTTGGTACTAGGAACTGAGTCTAGGGCCTTGCACTTGCTGGGTAGGCACTCCATACCTGGGCTACATATCAAACCGCAAACTCAAGATTTCTAACCCATAACATTACTTCTTTTATGAAGCCCTCTCTACATGATCTTCCTTAACATCTGATAGAGCAAAGCTTTTTTTATTGCACTGTTTCACTATGTAAGTATTTAATTATTGCATTAATTTCACACTACTTTGGATTCCTGACCAACTGGATCATATCTTCAGTTTATAACTTGTTTCTTAGCTGTTATTAGAAAATCAATAGGCACAGTAAAATACTTTGTAATTGACCAGATGGGTAAATAAAATACAGTGTATTTTTATTGCTATGCATTGGAGAGCTCCAAAGCATACTGTATATTTCTTTCATAATATTAGACAAGTAAGATAAAATGTCATTCCTGGCACAAATGCTTTTTAAAAGTCTACTGAAATAGGGCTGGGGATTTAGCTCAGTGGCATAAGTGCCTGCCTTGCAAGCAGGCAGTTGTGAGTTCGATCCCTGGTACCGATAAAAAGGAAAAAGACAAAAAAAAAAAAAAAAAAAAAAGAATCTACTGCAATAACAGAGGAATTGCAAATATGATCAAGGTTCTTATTACATGTTATATACTAAAATCTAATAATGCAGGATTTTGGAAATACACATTCAAACTTAAAATTGTACTTAAATTTTTTGTTATATCAACATTTGTCTTCTTTCTACATATTGCATAATCTAATTCTTCACATCCAGACCAAATTCTTATCTGACAGTATTTTTGTTTATTTTTAATTTTTCTTTCCTAAGCCCGGGAAGTGAACAATGGAGACTGCCATCCTTCAATTTCTTTTTAATTAGAAAGAGGGTTCTGGGGACTGGGCCTGCAATTAATGACTCAAGCTGCAACCAGAACAAATGAAAGAAGTCTACTGAGACTGTCTCAGACTCCAGCAGCCTGTGAAATACAAAGACATCTGTGTCCTCAACTTCTTTATTGAGATATTTTAACCCTTTTAATCTTGTTCTTCCATCTCTCTTCTCCCTACCTTCACTGTTACATTAACAAAATGTTTAAATTTATTTTTCTGTCTCCACATTCCACAGAGCACTTTGTCATAGCAAGAGAATGGATCAGAGAGAGTGTCCTTGGAGAGTCAGTGGTTCTCTCTTTGGGTGCATAGGGACTTTCCCATCTCTAGTGCAGCTGTGGAAAACTGGGTCAAGACGCTGTCCTGTGAGTCCTCTGTAGTACATCAGATTCTGCCAGCAGATGACCACCTTGTTTTATAATGAGATGTAAGTGAAATCCTGAGTCATCACAATAAAGATGCCACAGTCTCCTTAACAGAATGATTGACACACTCATAATTAGAGAAAATCAGGTTCCCAAAATTCTAACATTCTCTTTAAATTACGTCAAGAAGAACTGACATTTATAGAATGCTTTAGGTCAGCTATATGCTTCTACCATAACAAATAAAGACAGGACAAATAGCTTTCAATTCTATCAGTAGTTCACTGAGATAGCTGTCAGTTCATACCAACAACAATCAACCCAGCCTTTAACCAGCATCAACTAGCTTTTTCAAAGCAAAAAACTTACATTAGTCTAAATTTCAATGAATTAAAACCCCACCCATCACAACTCTCACTAAATATTTTACTGCAGTTTTTAGATTTAAACATAGCAAATCAAAAGAAAGAGGTGAAACTCTGATGTTCGCTTTGCAAAGAATCTTCTCAGTGTAGACCCTCCTCTCAGAATGCATTCAGCCAAACTCTATACCTGCTTCTGATCCTCAGAACAACAAAGCAAGTTTTCTTTATAATCTTCAGAAATGTTATGAGCAAAAGATTGGAAAATTAAAATGTTGCATATTTTATGTAAATGTTAGAACACTAGAAGTTGTTTTGAATCTTGATAATTCATTGACAATATAGGCATTACAAAACATGTACAGTTTATGAATTAGTCTTTAATGAGATCATTTAAAACAAGGTGGGCTAAGGCCAAGGCAGGGAGGAGAAATTCCTAGAAGTAGAAACCTGGCAAAGCCAGCTCATCCAAAGAACTCATCATTGGCCAGTCCAATTTCTCCCAAGAAAGAAACAGGGGTGTCAGCTATCAGAGTGGCGGAGGAACCATGGTTTATTATTATGAGTAAAGAACACTTTGGCTTTCTGTGAAAGCCTCTGATTTCTATTAGAGCATTTCACATCTGTGTTAAGTGAGATTAGAACACATCAAATAGGAAGAACACTCAGAAACTTCTCTTAGAAGCAAAATATTGATCACTGCACTACTAAGATAAAAAAAAGTGGTGGAGCAAAGGTCAGGCTAGTGAACTTAAAATTTAAAAATTGGACTACAACTCTTAAAATGCAAATTTTAAAATAATTCCCTTACCTGTTTTGATATTGATGGCAAAAAAATTCTGTGGATTTCCACTTGTAATCCTGTATGTCAGTTTTTCATTGGAACTAGAGTCAGGGTCTTCAGCTTGGATCTGAATGACAGATACATCCTTGGGTGAATTTTCCATGACAACAGGATAATAAATCGGTTCCGAGGTCAGAGGGGCATTGTCATTCACATCTTCAATTTCAATGTAGACCTCAAGGGTGGAATAGAGTGGAACAACGCCCCTGTCTGTGGCATACACTGTCAGCCAGTATGACCCTGTTGTTTCTCGATCAAGAATGTCTGCGGCAGTGATGACCCCTACAAGAAAATGGAGAAAGTGTGATGACCACAGCAGCGTACAAGACATTAAGTCAATCATCCCAAATTCCAGAGGGCCACACTACATAGTTTGGCATATAAGAAAAAAAGTCCATAACAAGAAATGAAATTAAGATGCTTCATTGTACATAAGAAAGTGATTCTTCTGCAGGGCTATATTAAACAGTTTCCTCACAAATCCTTCATTTGAATTTTGAAGCCAAGTGAGTGACACTCATGTATATACATCCAACACACACACACACACACACCACAGAAACACACACCCCATACACAAAGAAGACAGCATGTGGAAAAAATGGGAAGACAGTGGGGCCAAGAGTTCCTGTGTTGTAGGGGCTGGAGGTTTAGCTCAGCAGCATAAGCGCCTGCCTTGCAAGCAGACAGTCATGAATTCGATCCCTGGTATCGATAAAAAGGAAAAAGACAAAAAAAAAAAAAAAAAAAAAAGAGTTCCTGTGTTGCATAGGAAATCAATACATATAAATTTAATATCTTCATGTGACTGATACTGATTTCATTTCCTAAGCAACCAAAAGCTTTTCTAGGCTAAATTATTTTATCTATTCATAAAAATTAAAAAGACATTTCAAATGTTCTTTTGATTGCTATAATGGCAAATATTTTGCTTTCTAGCATTTAAGCCTCCTCCATAACATTTCACTACAAAACTAATGTAACAGTTATACTTTCTGTATAAGCTCCACATCCCTCAGGAACTGTGCAGAAGTACCTAAACAAAGCCTGATATACTTTGCTAGACACTCACAGACAATCATTGTAAGAGGTACACAAAATGCCAAATTTGTTTTCTAATACTTCCCCCATTTTGTAATACCAACCAGGAAATCATGTGCCTGCCAAAATAGTCAAGAGAAAACACAGTGCTTCTGTATGTCTTTTCAGCCCTCACTTAAATCACAAGGCTTCAAAACTTTACAACAGGGAGAGGGTCATAAGCAATGTTCATCATGATGGAAAACTCTGGGTTAAGCTTACAAAATCTTTAAAAGCAGTCAGGATGCTTATCAAGGTGTGAAATTCACATAAAATCCTTACACCATAAAATTGAGTAAAAACTCTCCTAATCCTCTGTCTTCTATATTTCTATTGTACATATATCTACAGTAAGCACATAATTTGGCCTACAGACCAAGCAAATCGCTAAGATTAGCACTAGCAGAGATAAGCATTTGTCCAAAAGCAGTTCTCCATGCTAGAGTATTCAAAGTAGATTAAAATACACAAGTTAAAATGTTCAAAGAAAGATAGCAAATTGATGTTGGAATTTTAGCCCCAAAATTATTTACCCAAGAATCTTGAATCATGAAATGTCCTGAAATAAGACAATCTTAGAAATTCTCAATGGAAATAAATAAAACATCTGTAAAATCACAGATGAAACTTAGGTTTCATAACAGAAATACTAATATGATATTACAAAAGTATATACTGGAAAATAGAATTAGTACAAAAAGAGAAGTTAAAAAATATTATAAACAGTAATGTGCATCCAGTGATTGACTAAAATTAATAGTTTTATAAACTGAGTTGAAACAGGACAGAGAACCAGCTGATACCCGGAAACCTGAAAAGATGTGAGTGTATCCGAGAATACACGATAGGCACCTATCATGGACACCGTGGAGTCACGTGGTATAACCTAAGCCACATTCATGCTTAGTAGTACAACCCATGAAATCAGAGCACGGCAAATCAGAGAGTGAACAAATGACAAAAGACCAGGCAGTTTTTGAACTAGAGTCAGAATACGCAGGTGTGAGCTAGTAGGAAGAATACAGGAAAAACAAAAAACAAAAACAAAACAAGCTCTACAGATGCCTTGAAGCTCCTCTTGGCCAAATCTGTCCATTCAATTCATAGAATCTACTGATCCCTTTGCTGGACACTGGAGAAAAAAAGATAGATGAGAATGTCTCTGCTCTCAGGAGATTTGCAGTCCACCCAGGAAGACAGGTCTCTAAAGAAGAGCTCTCTGCTAAGTCTGACCTCATAGTCAACAGCGGGGAGGACATGGTTTCATCTGGGTTAGACTCATACACTGGGAAAGAGAAAGAATTTAGAACTTGAAGGAGAGAGGAGGAAGAGAATCATTTTCTGAGGATCCAAAATGTGCTATTAGACTTGCAACACAACTTCCCTGTAGTATCTCTCTTATAGATGATGCTCCAACTAGGTAACTTGCCTAAAGTTTGATGGCTAATTGCAAAACCCAGGCTTACCATTTGGAATGCTTTACTCTCAAACATAGGACCCATTACTTACTACCTCTTTGACCCTGGTTTCTAGGTGTTCAATTCAAGAATTTTGATTTCCCATCCAGCCCTCAGTGTTATGGTGATCATCACAAGTATGGCAAGAATGTGGCGAGATGCTAGCAGCATACTAGAGGCTGAGGGAACATTAAATATATAAGAATCAAACAGATTAACACCCCAAATCAGAGGGCAATCCTGAGAAGACAGAATTTTTGGAATGGGTTGTTATTTTAGATATTTCTTCTTTGTTCATGTAGCATGGTGGCACTGTCCTTGTGAATTGGCAATGACATAGCTTTTCAAAAAAGCACATAGCATTTTGGGAGAACAGCAAAGTAAGGTTACTAAAAAGAGAAAATAAGCCAATAAACAGCAAACTCAAAACAGCTGGGGCAGCCTTGTTTGCCACTTTCCAGAAGAGAATAAATGCACATACACATGCACCTGTACAGATCTGAAGTCACTGCATTGGTCCTAGGAAGTCACTTAGGCCTCTCTCTTTCCATTTGTGATACTGCATTACAGGCTTTGGATATTAAATTCTTCTGAGAAGTTCTTTCATGAAATACTTCCATTAACACAAATTAAAATTTATGGGTGGATTTTTACTCTGTTTTTCAATGAAGGAACAGACATACATGCTAAAAATTACCAGTTAGCTCTAATTAAAACAAAACGTGAACATGGTATTTTTAACTCAGTGACTAAAAAAGTACAAATGAGAATCTTGGAACATGGTGTTCAGGCATCAATTTTGTGATCCAAAAATCTGAAGCCAAAATAAAAAGAAAGACTCATATATGTTAATTTTTATAAGATTAGTGCAAATCTCCACATTAACCATTTAACAGTGTCCACTCTCACGATTCCTCACCTCCTTCTAATGATGATCGCAAACTCAAAACTATTAATATAAATGCATATGGTCATTCTTTATCAATCAAACTCCCACTTCTGAATCTGACTAAGGATTGTGAAAATTAAGTCATGAACCTTTAGCTTTGTGACTACCAACATGCATTCTTCATTAGTTTTTTTATTAATCCAGCATATAGTAAATTGTTTACCTAAAATAAAAGTGGTAAATTTTGATAATCACGAAGCTAGAACTGTACTAAAGGCAACATATTCATTATCCATAAAATATCCTTCTTCTCATTTTTAATCACTGGGTGCCAATTTTCCTTACCCTCAGGAAACCACAGAAGAGGTTTATATCACTACAGATTACTATGTACTTTCTACAATTGTATAGTAGTTGAATAATACAATAATGTAATTCATTTTCTGTTTTATTTCAGTAAGGATAATTTTTGTGAGGTTCACCAAGGTTTTTGTGTGTGTAACAAAGATGATTCCTTTTCACTGGCCATCGTCCATGGAAGGGTTATACCACAGTGATTTTTAACCATTGGCCTGATGCACATTCCAGTAGCTTTCAGTTTTGAGTTGTATCACAAAGATGCTGAGGACATTCACATGCAGGTTTTATCTGGCAGTATACTTCCATTGATCTTATAGTAAATAAGGAGTAAAATGACTGTATTTCCTAGCAGATGTATAATTGTACCATTTTACATTTCTACTTGCAGTAAAACAAAAAGTTTCTGTTGCTCCACATCCTCACTTATGGCACTTTAGAAGGTTTAATTTTCTTAATTTTAGACATTCTAATGGTGTATAATTGTATTTCATGTATTAATTTGCATCTTCCTGATGATGTTGAGTATCTTTAACAATGTTAAAGTGGATGACAGACGCAGAAGGAAAACTAGTTGGCCCCGGATTGCACAACTTAGCAATTTAGCAAGAACTCATTTCAAAATATGCAACAAAAATGTCTGGAACTGTAGTTCACTGCAAAAGCCCTGGATTCAATCTCAAGTTTCACAAACCTATGTCAACATAAGAGGCTTGAAAAATGTGGCTATGCAGTAAGCCTTGAAATCAAGAAGTGTACCAGAGGTATTGAAATATTTAAAACATGTTTAAATAAGCATTAAGAAAGCATCAGTGCAATTAAACTAGGGGTAATAAAGCCAGATACAATGTATCATAAAGCTTCTAACTTTACGCTTATGTGTCAAAACCATGATGCTATTTCAGATCTTTTGTTTTCCATATAAATTTTAGTATGAGTTTTAAAATGTATTAAAAATATAGAAAACCACGTAGGATGTTTATTGGCATTTACATTGAATCTATAGATCGATTTTGAAAGAACTAGGAACTGAACAACTTCAAGTACATTGACTTATAAAAATTATATTTTTTTCCACTTACTAACCTTCCTTTACTTCTTTCTGCAGTGCTATCTAATTTCAGGATACAGGTTTTGCATATCTCTAATCAAAGTTATCTATAATCAGTTCATAGTTTTGATATCAGAATTGGAATTATTTTAATCTATTGCTATTATTAGCATATAAAATATGCTGCATCCTTATTAAAATTACTTAGTTCTAAAAGACTTTTAATACATTCCGTAGAATTTCCCCAAATACAGAAAGTTTTACAACTACTCTCTTTACTATCACTTCCTCCACATCCATCACTATTTACTTCTTGCATACTTGATACAATAAATGTATTTTTCATTAAGTATTTCAAACCTTTGATTCATTCAACAAACATTTAATATTAGAAACACTCCTGATGTAGTTATACTTTTATTTCCATTCGGAAGATAGGGAAACTAAA